TGTAATGTTTCAATCTTTAAAATGCACTTTTTAATGCATTTATTTATGATAAAAACTATTTTTTTTTATAAAAAATAAAAAATTTATTCAAATTATTGATTCGAAATAATTTTTATTTATAATTAACATTAAAAATTTTTTTTATGAAATTTTTTTTTTTAATTTTTTAAATTAAAAATTAATCAATTGTTAAAGATAAAGTTCTTCATTAAATAATGAACTTTAATGATAATAAAGATATTTTGAAATTATCTTCTCTTTTTCTAATGGTATTTTACGTAACAATTAACATTAATTTTCAACATCAACACCACTCACTCTCGAATCACACTCGACTTTAATAGATTTCAATCATAAGAACATCTTTTGTTTTCTGATTAAAATAGGACCCAATCTTCGAAGCCCTATATATAAAGTAAAAATTCCAAGGGACTCTCTGTTGTTGTTCAAAAATATAATAAAAAATTCCGTTCTTCGGCTAAGCCCATACCCAAATAGTTAGAAAGAGAATCACTGAGCCATGGGTCAAGCCGAAATAGATGGTGAGGATGCGTTCAGGCCTAAGTGTCGGACCCTCGTCAAAATTTCTAGCGGGTCGGAACATGTTCAAAGTTTTCTTTACCTGATCATCTCAGGTATATTCAGGTAGGACCCCACAAATAGGCATTCTTCAGACTTTGAATCTTTTTTCTTCCACGTTTCACATTATAAACATCGCAGCTATCGTAAAGATTGAAAATGAAGTTTATCATAAAAAGAATAAAAGAAATGATAGAAATTTGAACTTTGAACTTTTTCAATTCTAAATAAATGTTAATTCTCAAAAATTAAATCTTAGAAATCTTTTTTATTTCACTGAAATATTTCGAATTTTCTATTGCACTTGAAAAAGAATTCATAAAACTCCACACTAAAAAAAATAACTTCTAAACAGTTGCATTGTTAGAATATTTTTTACTTCAAAAAAAGCAATCCCAAAGTTTCAATGAATATCTTAATAGATAATATATTTGTTTGTAGATAAATAAGTCCTTTTGTCATGTAGATAATCTTTCACCACATTTTATTATGACAATATAATAAGAAAGCAATATTTTATCATCAATATCTCATTTAGTTCTTTGCAAAATCAAGTAAATCAAAATCTCCTAGAAAAAAAGCTAAATTATACCTGCAAAGTAAAATACACAGTGTGCTTGGCTGTGACCAAAGATATTCATAAACTCGAGGGCGCCCACTCATCAGCACCGGAACAGGTTCTACATATTGTATATATCACTATTCTTTTACTCCCTTTCTCTCATTTTCTCTCGTTATATCTTCGCAAACATACAGTCTCATTGTATGCGACGATTTTGACATTATGGTTTCTCGACTAGGTCAATCGAGGGTTGAACCTGCTACATCACCCTTTTAAAAACCACCCCGGTCTTTTTGCATTGTCGAAAATCGCATTTGATCTCACTAAGAGACAATTTCAATCGAGAGTTTGAAGGGAGAAAATAGAGGGATGCAGTATAAAAAATACAGAAAAATATAGTAGGGTTGGAGGAAAAAAAAAAGTGGAGAAAATGATATTGAAAGAATGGGAGAATATCGAGTCCCCTTGTCTCCCACGCGCTGCCCTTCCGTTGTTGCTCACCATATGGCCCTTTTTACCCACCCTGGATGCACTGTGCGTTCACTACCTCTGGTGATTCTTTTCCTGTCGGATGCGATAAGGGCGCGAATTGCTTATTACACATGTACATACCTTGCAAATTCCATCAACCACACATTAATCCATCCGTGAATAAATTTTTTTTACTTTTCAATTATTGTTTTCATACCCATCATTCTGATTCGTACTTCTTCCTCTGTATAATTATTTCATACGACCTTCGTAGCCCTTACCTAAAAACATGTATTTTTAAATCAACAAAAAGAAAAACCTTTTTGATACAAATAAGAAAAGAACATGCAATGATGCATCTTACAAAAGACTTTAAATAGTTTCTTTTATTAAAATAAAATAACTATTATTCTTCAATTAAATGCTAATATTTTATCATACTGTTTGAAATAAGTTACATTTAGACATTTTTTATTAAATATTTAAAAACCTTGGTTAAAATTTATTTTGAAACGAGTCTCTTATTGACTTTTAACCGTGATAAAAAATAAAATAAACGAAATAGTAAAAATAATTTTCCTTATTTTAGTTGATAATTTTATTTTATTCAAATTAAATAATAATACTGTTTCAATCAACAGAATATAAATGTTTATTTATTTATTAAATTTAAATGGTGCATAATTGAAGAATAATCACAGCATAGTGTGAATTAACTTGGTCTTTAACTAGACTGATTTTAAAAATACAAAGGAAAAATACTAGACATATTCAGTAAACTACACAATATCTAGTTGGGAGCCGCTGACTAGGGGGATAGCAACCCCTCATAGAAACTCCCTTTATTCATCCCCTAATGTAGCTCTTACGTGTGTGGCCATACTCTTTTTCTGTCTCAGAAAACTAGAATACAACGTAGACTATTTATCCTTCCCTATTCATGATGGTTTTCGTATATGTGACTGAACCAATCCTGTGGTATATATGGTTGTTTGATGTGCACGTATTTAAACTTGAAGGTGGATAAGTGAATGAATTAGCTTGTTGTCATCTAGATTCATTAGGGATCAAGTTATTTAAGGAAACATTGAAGAAGTTAGAGGTACTTTATCAACTTTAGAACCAATTATTGTTAAACATTCTGATGAATTCACTGTCTATGAGGATTCTCTCTCATCATCTTTGTCAAGTCCTTGAAGCTGTTGCCTCGCAGCTCGACAATCTTATCCGCGACGTGTTGATAGCGCTTGCTCATGTGGTTAATCTTTAGACTTTAAACCTTTAATAATCATTTCTTGACCGACACACAGTACACGACAATTAGGATTTTATTGATATTCACCTCCTTTAGATATTAATTATTGATAAGCTCTTTCTCTTTAGCATCATCATCTTTTCTTACTCAAAAATAATCATCAAAAAAAATGCTGCTATTTCCAACTGTATTTTGCGGCTTCCAGTCTGTGTCGAGTTAACTCCGCACGCCTCGTCCCCTTTCGAAAATAACACTCAGCCGGTTGACGTCATGCTTGCCATGACTGAGGCACTGCTGCGCACTCAGCGTTCGTCACTAAAGTCTACAATTCTGCGCGATATTATTCTATATAATTCACATATATTTATACTTACCACAGTCAATATAATTATCACATTTATTATCCAAAAATTTCCTACAATTTTTTTTTTCTCGTTAAAACAAATATTTCATTATTCAATTATCTAAATTCATTGATTTAAATTGATTCTGATAAATATTTTATTTGAAAACAACACCTCTTGCTTTATTTTCTATTGAATGTATAGCTCACGTTTCTTTTTCATTCATTCATTTTGGAGAATGAAATACTACTACTGGTTGTGTCTTATGTGAATAATTGAAAGCGCCGGCAGTAAATTGTAGTTGGGAATCAGGGCCACATTCAACACCCGGAAGCATTTGAGGGTCGTCATCGGTAGACTTTTCAAGGACTTGGATAAAGATATAAGCGTAGTTACAAATCCTTCTCTTATGGTCTTTCGGGAGTGAGATAGGATATCCTAGTCTCTAAGATCCAAGAATCAGTGGTGGAAAACAATTATGCACACCACATGTATAAATTGAGTAATCACCTGGCAAACTTGAATTTATGTGTCAAAGAGAAGAAAGAAAAGGAATGGAGTGGAGATACTCTTCTCCACTTGTTAACAAGACACTTATACTACCTATTAGGTAATAGAAAGAATAAAAAAGAGTTAAAGAGGTCCTTTTCTTGACTTTGATTTATAGATGGATGAAAAGGCGTGTGCATTCTGTGGTTCGAGACTAATCCGTTACGCTGACCCTAGGTTTCCACGATTCAACAAGTGCCCGCGTCGGCATTATCGGTTGTAAATGCCTGCACAACTGCTTTAACGATGTCCTCGGGAGAATGTAAATTCTACCCCTCCTGAATGTAGCGATAAATGTTAAATAATAGATTTCAAATCGCTTTAAATTACTTTAGAATTGTATAAGTGAATTTTTCATTGCAATCGCACTGGTTCTTTTTTATTTTCAACGATAGGAAATCAATTTACGAGATCGGTTAGACGTGAGTAATATTTCGCCTTCGACATCCCTTTTTTTTCTGTTAAAGTTTCGTCCTGCTAAACCCACGTGGAGTATCAATATTTTCATCAAGTATCTGAAGACACTCACAGTGACATCTTGTGATACTTTTCTGAGCTTACAAAAGGCTAAAACACAATCTCTGTCTTTGTCTTTGCTTTCAAATTCCCCGCGAACTCTATCAAGTGGGGAGTAATCATTCATTTACTTTCTCTTGTGTACTTGTAAACATGATTTTGGTGTATTATTTACTAGGAATAAAAATATCAGTAGAAGTAGTTGTAATAGTTTTTATGAATTCATCTATTTTTTAATTTTTTTTAATTGAAATAAATTTATTTTTCGTTCTAGAAAAGAATGAATGAAGAATCATACGATTTGATTTTTTTTTATAAACGATACCCGCATTATATTGGTTGATTAGACTCATGGTCATGACTAACACCCTTGTATATTCTGCTCTCTGACAGTTTCTCTTCCCTACTAAACTATCCATTCCGAAGATGACTTGATCCATGACTAGGAAGGGAGACTGACGTCATTATCCAGGCACGTTCTTGCCAACAAGCTGAACATCTGAGTCATGACATTTGCTGTTAGTTTGCCTTCTGTTAGTGGACTCCAAAATAATTATTAATAAGACTCATTAGAGTTGACAAAACTTCAATATTGAAAAATGATCCAATATTCACGAGAAATAATAAAGAAAAAGAGTCACAGGTTAATGATTATTTATGATAAATAATTAAATAAAATATTATAAAGGATGTTAACTAAATAAAAATTTTTTTTCAATTACAGAGTTGTGCAATGATGGGTCTGCAGGCCACGGCAGGAAAACGTAAACTGGAGGGAGGTGGTGGTTGCATGGAGTTCGATATGGATATGGGCGAAAGCCCGTCAAAGTTAGGAAGAGTAGAGGGTAGTTGGTGGGCAATGGAAGACAGCTATACGCCACCGTTAAACCAACCTCCTTCATCGTACTACGAAATGGAAGTTAGCTCGCCTTGTCTTCAGGCGAATCCCTGTCAACCAACAGCGAGTTCACCACCAGCAGCTTCTCAGCTGCATCATTCGTCGCAACACTACTATCATCAGCGTGGTGCCGGTAGCAACGGTTACAACCAGTTATCAAGACCTCAACCTCAGTGGGGAGCTCCTCATCATTATGAACCACCAACGATACGAAGAGAGGAGAATGGCAAGAGTTACTTGGAACTTGGCTCAAGTTATCGTGCGAATGAAAGATGCTGTGAGGGATCGAGGTCCAGCTGGTGCAGGCGTGGCAGGGCCTGCTACCGTCAAAGAAGGCTAGCCGTCCTTAATATTTCCATGTGTAAATTGGCGAGGTATCGTCAATTCCCTGATCCTAGTTTATATCGTTCTGTGCTAATCTGCAATACCTTGAGGCATCTTGAAAGAGAGATGGAGAGGGATAGGAGTCCACCGCCAATGGAGCCAGTTATTCCTACACCGATGGCTCAACTTCAGCCACCTGAACAGGGAAGACTGACACCTTTCCCAATGCCACCAACATCATCCAATGAAACGGACGTAGACTCTGGTATTGGAGACAGCGACGATAGTCGTTCCATCAACTGGGGAAGTGTCTTGTCCCTATCAAGCCAGTCGCCTTTGGACCCTCTTAATAACAACGAGCTACTAGATGTTGACATTGGACCTGAACTAGATTTAGACTTTATGCCTGGATGGAAGTTGACACCACTGTCAGCGGATGACATCCTTAGGAGTACAAATGTCGCCGTGGCAGCGGCTGCAGCCCAGGAACACCAGATTACGACGAGCAGTACCACAAGCACAACCAGCAGCAGTTGTACCAACAGCAGTACGCACGAATCGCTGATGTGCGTTGGTTCATAGCCCCCAATACTCGCGTCGTTGAGTCATCTCATCGACTTTTATCCACTCATGCCCCAGCGCAAATAGTGCTCGAGTGGCCTTGAACGACGAAACGATGCAGCGCCGTATGTGACGGGATGACCCCGGTATATTTGTACGGAGGCGCTCATTGAGAGCATCGAGAATGGTCGTCGTTTATTCACAAATATGGCTCGTGTCAATTACACTCCACTCGATTATCATTTCCTCGGTTGATTACTGTGCGGTCCTCCATCATTTGCGTCAGTAAATCATTGCAAATGAAATACGCATTCGCAACTTAATCATCCACATGTCTCTTGTCGCTCAAAATTAACCGTGGACTAATCATCAACGACGATACGAAATTCACGCCGTCTGAATGATAATTAGATTGCGTTCTTGAGTTTCCAACGGAAAAGGTACCCGGGCCGACGATGCAAATACTATGATCAAGGAACGCCAAGGATTCTTAGAGTATCAAATTGTCGTATCTTTGACGGCCCTTTTCCACAGCTTTCTATACTACTACATTAAAAAAAAAAAGTCATCGTCTGCCTAGCCAGCCAACGTTGGAATCCCCAGAATTAGGACGTCCGACAAGAAGCAGGTTGAAAGCGTGCCTAGGAGTATAAAAGTGACGTTCTCCAGCGGCACTAAAGTCGTAGCTCAGGCCCACGGATCGTGCCCAGATATGTAACGTTATCACATGGTGCTAGGACACCAGATCCTGGTGCTTTTGCGTTCTCGTTCATTTCATTTAATATCGTGCGAGCCAAACCAAGAGCATCGCCACAGTAAAATGTTTTATCATTATCGAGAATACTACCATCACCAATCGCGTTTATACTGTCAAAAGTACCTGGATTATTAAATGTCGGATTATTAGGTAGAATTTTGAAGGCTCTTCACTAGGAAGTCTTGCCCGCCAGTGCGCCAATGATCTCTAAGTAGTTAATACTACAATATTTACACGTGATACGAGCAGCTTCCATGTGTGTGGCCTAAAATAATTTGTGTGCGTGATACGTGGACAATTAAACGTGTCTATTTCTTCATTGTAATGATATAGGTATGATGTTATAAATGTCCACGTATGTCCGACAAAGTGCAGCTATATACTTAATAATTGGAGTAAGAAAATGAAACGTTATTAAAAAGAAATTAATGTAAATCAACTAAATACTTAAAAGCAAAAAAAGAAGACAACCTTAATGATTGATTGATTGATATTGAATTGAATATTCTCCATGAACGCACAGATACATGGATCATATAAATTAATCTAAAAATTGTTTTTATACTTTATTAATATAAAAAAAAACGAAAAAAAAGCAAATATTGATGTATGTAATTATGGGTTTTAAAAATTTATTTGTTAGCTAATTAATAATTCTCAAGCAATATTATGTTAGTTTAATGATATATTGAAATAATTATTTTATATGTTTTTTTTTACAAAAAGAAAAAAAAAATGACATGATCCATATTATAAGTGCATCTATGGGTTGTTTTCTCTTCCAGTAGATATACTTCAAAAAATGAATGGAGCAATCGTCATCAGATATTATTATTCCTTGAATAAAACAAAAAAAAATTCGTCCAAAACGAATGCTCGATTCATAACGATCAGAAGTCATCTTTTTATTATTATTAAATTAAGTGGAAAAAAAAATAATAAAACTGATACAACAGCACACAAGTCTGCGGTTGGTTATAAAGAGAAATAAAAAATTATATAAAAATTGTTTGAAAGATTAGATATAATAGTAAGTACAGATATGATGGTGAAGAATGATGGAAGTTGATCAATGATGACAACAACCAAATTTTCTTCATAAATTTTGGCACAAATCGAATATTTGTATTTGAGTGCTATAATAAGATATATAATGAGTGTGTAAACGCGATTGGGCGATACGATTGAAGTGTGGGCTATGCACGGCATAGTGTATGTTGTTGTAAGTTCACAAAAATGGAATATATAGATAGAGATATATTCGGTGACTACAAATCTTGTAAATAGTATACATATTACATAAGAGATAGGTTTAAGAAGCGAGAAAAATTGGTATAAAATGAAATATACATAAGATATTATATATTATATATACTATATATGAGAACAAGAAGTATATATATAAGATTATTATATATTTACCTTGGTAAATGACACAAAGGCACTTGCAAGACATCGTTTGATTAACGAAATGACAAATATTCGCATAAATCATACCTTATTCTTGAAATTTAGTTCCGATCTCCAACGGCATCTGGCCTATATCGATCGACTTGAATAACGAGAATCGTGATGACGACTCTATTCCCAGATATTCATCTTCCATATAAGTATCCAGTATTGTTTCTTTTTTTCAAATTATCTTTCAAAATACTGCGCAAATTTCACGCTGGTCGTGGATTCTCGGCGCGAGTCGGTCTTCAGGCCGAAGTTTTGGAGTTGCACGATTCACATTCAATCGATATGTGATGTTTTTTTTTTTTTTAAATATTCTTTTGAATCCTGCAATTGATAAAATTATATGAATTTAAAGAAATGAATGATTGTGTCGAATAATAGAGAATTTTAAAAAGATATGAAATTAAAAAAAGTAAATGAATTTTTAATAATATTGAAGAATCAGTAAATTAATTTCGTGTGTCAAGCGACTTCTCGTAAAGTGCCTCGGGAAAACTTAGGGCAGGAAAGACAACATGTGTACATTGTAAATAGTAGCGCAAAAGATGACGGTTTACAGAAAGACAGAGTTAAAGTTGCATCGAAAATCTACGTCACGTACTCGAAGCGAAAAGACGTAAAGAAAAATATAAAAAAATTTTAAATAAATGAATAAATAAATAAATTTAAGAATCTAAGAAAATAAAATTATAAGAATAAAGAATTTTTAATTTATTACAAATTGTAATAGATATTAATACTATTTAATAATTAAAGAAAAGAAATGTTTTGACTGTTATAAAATAATTTTTTTATTTAAACTTTAATAATGTGATTGTCCGTCGTTTGCTTCGAGTTTTGGCGTAATCTTTTAATAAATAAAATTTAGAACAAAATGTATGATGCACGGTATATCTCTAAAGAACGTACTGATCACTTGGTATTTCATACCCTTCTTCGTACTAGGCCGCATCAAAAACACAAAATTAATTAAAACAAAATGAAATTAAAACTTTGTCCCGCTTAATATAATAATATTTGTCTCTGAATGAATTGGAATGTTAAAGAAATTGTGCAAACATTGGATGTAATAAATTACAATAACTCTAGTCGTAAGCGGTTCGAAGTTGCGGCACGCATACGAGTGATCGGACGTTATTTTAGCAGTAAAAGTTGTATCACACGTACTGTTTTACCAAAATACCGGCAAAAAACAAACATTGGAAACAACAACAATATGGATAACAAAAACAACCATCAAAAACAATAAAGAGTATTATTCTATATATAATAATTGTTTATGGCTTTTTTCATTCCTATCCTACTCCCAAACTTAGTTAATAATTTATCAAGTAAGAAATTAATATTAATTCATGGTACAAAATATTCTCTTTACATGCAAATGCCTTTGAAAAATAAATTTTATCTTTAAACCTTTGAGATCAGAGAATATTTCATTCATTGAATCAATTTCAAATTTTTTATTTTATCGACAAAAATCTATTGGAGATAATCATAAAAAAGATTCTATATCAGCTTTTTCGTTCCAGAAAATACAATGAAAATTCTAGATTCAAAACCTTTTTCTTTGCTATGTATTATTTAATTTCATAGAGATAGAGAACTTTAAGAAAAGAAGTTAATGAATTTATACGAGGTTTTTAATTAACTAGAAAAGATAAAGGACAGTAAATATTAAGAATTTTATAAATTTCTGATATATATATACTTTTCTTGAAATATTCCTTTGAAGAAAAATCGACGACAGATGTGCCATAATTGAATACGGATACATTCTCAATATTTCTCTTCCAGATAAATGGACTGCATTCAATGGTGTGTTAGATCTAGATTGAATTAGCACATCTTTGCATTTTCATCACACGTTAATCCGAGCTTCTAACAAAATTAATGTTCTATGAATTTTTATGAATCATTTTATAATTAAATTGTATAACAAATAATGAGCAGAAGAAAAAGAAATTTTTAACTATTTATTTTACCTGATTGTCATTAAATGGCTATGTAACTGTAAAAAAGCATCCACAGGTAGATTCGTAGAAATATAATCTTGCGTAATATCCTCACTAGACATAACATAATCCAACCCTGGAGCGTTCAGTACAGGTGGTGTGCTGTCATATGATTCAGGAATTGGATGTTGGTAAGCTGATATAACAACCATCATAAAACGTATAACAAATTGAAAATGATAAAAACAAACTTTATGAAATAGATTAAGAACAGCCAATTAGCTGGGGAAAGTGGTCAGCAACCACTGTATTAGTTGATAATTATTTCTATTAAATAGCACTACTCATATAATAACATTAATTTCTACAATTATTGTAGAGTACATAAATGAACAAATTATTTTCAACTTCTCGATTTATTGTATAGTATTAATGACTCGTAATTTTATTTAAATACTATGTATATGTATCAAATAAAAATAATGAATAAAACTTAGAGATACTTCCGTTAATAAAACTGGCAATTTTAACTTCGTTGGCACTTTGTTTCACTAATTATTCTGTGGTGGATTTGCCAGAAATACATAAAAGTTCATGGAGCACAAGTTGCATTGATCGTCCCTCAGAATATCCCATTTAGAACTTGTTCATCAGATCCGATTAAATTTTTAACCATTTTTAAATCAGCAGGTTTAGGAAATATTTTTTCATCATGCTAAGAGCATTGAGAATATGCTATTCAAGTATGTATAAAATACTTGAGCTGCTTTTATTGATACCTAGATTTAACAAGTATTTGTATTAGGATTATTTTGTCAAATAATTGAGTCAATAGAACTTACTAATACCAAATTCCATATCAGATACTCATATCAAATTATTAGTGTGAATTATCAATTAAAATTAATATCATATTAATGAGTTAATTAATTTTAGGTATGAATAAAAATTAAAAATATTTTATAAACATTATTCGTGACTGACGAATTCGAGTCTTGCTAAATTTAATTCAAACTAAAACGGATATTGGACTGAGGAAATAAAAATAATATCACTGTAATCTAGATTAAAACAAGGTAAAAGAAAAGTTTGTATAAAACTTTTTCCTCATTTCTTATCGTATTGGGTGTTTATAATTATATTTCGATTGGTAAAAGTATTAATATAAAACCTGAAATATTATTTGTTTATGTTAAAATTTTTTTATAGTTTGAAAATTCGTAAGATTTTTATATATTGATAATAATAAATTATTAAAAAAGACATACATATGTATCTAATTTTTTTTCAATTTATGTTTAAAATGTCCTTATAGTAAAATAACTTTATCAATATGTACAGAGTTTAAAAATTTGAATACATACATATGTTCAAGAAATATGGGTGATTTTAATTTTGCTAATCTATGTATTAGATTCTTCTATGTTATTAGTATGTGATACGTCTGTTGAATATGTTTCTATATGTTCAGGTAATTTTTCTTCTTTGTCAATCGAAGAACTTAAAGAATTTGGCTTATGAACACTTTCAAAATGTTCGAAAATGTCAGTCTTTGTTGGGAACGATTCGTTGCAATCTTCACAGCGGAATGTTTTAATTTGATGAGTTTTTGCATGCTTTATCATATCATATTTCTGTATGAATGTTTTATCACAAATATTACAGACAAATGGTTTAACTCCTGTGTGAATCCGTTCATGGACAGTCATTGATCCTTTGCGTGCAAAAGTCTTATTACAATATCCACACACGTAAGGTCGTATTTCGGAATGAACTTTCATGTGTTGACTAAGATGACTGGAACATCGATATTGCATATTACACAATTCACAGGAGTATGGCCGTTCGCCAGTATGTATTCGTTCATGAATGAGCCGAGCTTCTTTCGAAATAAATACATCTCCACAAAATTGACACATATGTGGTCGTTCAAATGTGTGTACTGATTTGATGTGGTACTTCAAAGAACTTTTACTTGATAATTTTTTTCCGCATTTATCACATTCCACTCTTACTTGTGTTCCATCATGTGTACGTTCGTGATTTAACAATGCACTGCGTTTTGGAAATACTTTAGAACATACTTTACAGTCCCATACCTGTTTATTGCTACATTTTTTTTTTATACTTTCTGCGATATCACTGTCTGAATGTTGCTTTCGGTGCAATTTAAGCTCACTCATTGATTTACATCGATACTCACAGACCTAAAAAATAATTATATAAATAATTTTATCGTTGGATTTAATTAAGCATCAATATTAAATAAATTATATTTTTTATATTTGTAAAGAATCTCGACATGTTTTTATTGCCAATTGTTTGTTGTTATGATTCAACCATTAATAATTAATAAGTAGTGAGAATTAAAAAACTAAAGTGTTTGATAATTAGCAAAAAAATTTTTAAGCTCGAATTCAAATAAATTTTGATACATAAAAATATTCATACTCACACTACAAGTATACATGCCATCATAATTACTATGTCTTTTTACATGAGTATTCATATTCCCTCTACGATTGAACGTTACTCCACAAATTGGACAGGCGTATTTATTCAATCCATGGGAAAGACGATGTTGTCGTAATTGAATTCGTTTTGAAAAAGCTTTTCCGCATTGCTCACACACATAAGGTTTATTTCCATTATGTTGATTCATGTGTTCTTTGAGATGAAACCTATTTTAAAAATTATTAAATATAAATTTTAATTATTAAAATTTAAAATTTTATTAAAAATTATGCAAACTTTATTTAGTTTACCTTGATCTAAAAGCATTTCTACAAATTTCACAGACGTGTCTTTTTTTTTTCGAAATGTCTAAATGTATTCGTTTGTGACCTCTTAAATTATTCGAATGCTTGAAACTTTTACCACACAGATCGCAAAGGTAAGGTTTATCTTGTCGGTGAGTTGCTTCATGAACATCTAAACTCGACCACTTTTCGTAAATTTTATCACATGAACCACACTTGAAAAGGAGTTGTTGTCCAACATGTTTTTCTGCCATATGTGTTTGTAATGATTTCCTATTGGAAAACGGTTCAGAACAATGACCACAACGTCGTTGTTGTTCAGGGTTTTTTTCTTTTAAATGTATTAACTCATGTTGTGTTAATTCTTTTTGATTAATAAATTTACTATCACATTTTCCACATTGGAATTTTTCTGAACTCTCTTTATATAAAACTCTATCACTTTCTTCACAAGTTTTATTATTTTCAAATAAATTTTTACTTACACTACAGTTAACTTGACAATTATTCTCTGTTATATTTAATACTTGAGTATCATCGCATTGATTCTGTATTTTATCACTATTATCGTTCAGAGATATTACTTGTCGACATTCCTTATTAATTACTATATTCACATTTTGTACAACAGAAGTATTAGTAGAGCTATTTCGAACATCGTTCTGCATAGTTTGTAGAGGTTCTAGTATTAAATTATTTAAATCTGATTGTAGAACAAATTTAAAACGATTTTCCATTTTTGAAGATACTAAATTACTTTCAGGACATTGAATAACAGATTGGTGATCTTGAACATTTATATCATGGGTGGTAGAATTTTTATTAGTCTCATTACTTAATGCATCATTATGTTTTTCTTTTTCTTGAGATATTGGCAATTCCTCTACGTTAGAAGCATCAATGCACATTTCATTATTTATTTCTAGCTCATGAAGTGCAATTAACTCTCGAAATCTATCTTCATTGTTATACTGGAATAGAATATTTAATCATCAGTAACGAAATTCATTTAAATGATTATAAATTATAAAAAAAAATTACCTTGCAAGAAAGATTTAAATATTTTCGAAGTCTAATATCCGTTCTTAAACAAGTGATAAATAAAGAATGAGATACTTCTAATTTTTCATAACAATCAGTGCAAATTTTTTGTGGCATTGAATCTTCATTTTCAATCAGAATTGGTAAATGCAAATGAATTTTTTCGATAAGTTTAAGCTCAGCACCTTTGCCAGTAAAAAAATCAAAATCACCGGGATTGATTCCTTGTCCACAAACTCGACATAAATGATTAAACCTTATTGTCACATCATCAAACTGATCAATATTAATATTTATGCTACAAAAATTCAAAGAATTATTATCAGTATGATCAACTGGTTGGTCTTCATTCCTACTTATTTCATCAACATGATTATTTGTATCATGTAAATCAGAATTGTACATAGCATTTTGATACGTGGAATCTCCCGTATTCACATAATCAGATGAGCATGTATTATTTACGTTATTGATACAGTTATCCAAATGCAACGTTTCTATAACATGATCTGAGGAATACTGTTGTTTCAAAGCTGAATGATCATGACAGTGTTGAGGAGATTCATTGTTTATTTCAAAAAGTGTTGGTACAGCACCTTGAGCAATCATTATGTGATTTGTTTTGCTTATAAAATACCGGTCTTCGATATGATCTGCACAGATGTAGTAATTTTTATGTAATTCTTCATTTGATTTCATCATTAAATCTGGTCGGCCACAATGATGGGCCCAAACAGTTGATCTGCAAATCCCAAATTTAATCAATATAATATTAATAATATAAATAATTTGAAGCAAAATTATCATTAATTTAATATCAACCACCTTCAATACATAAAAATAAAGTTTATAAAATTTTATTTAACAAGTTTTAAATAAAATATTAATTTACAAATCATGGGCTTAATTAAGGTAGAAATTCTTACGTATCATCATTTGGAAAGCTGATAAAAATAATATTGCTGGAATCTTCATTTTTGGATGAATATTTACATGATGATGATGCACAAACTATTTTCATTGTTCAAATATTTGTTTATTCAAATGTTTCCACGAATTTTTTAATTTTTTTAGATAATTAGCAAACTAATGTTTACTTTGCTGATTTTTGACAACCATATGATTCCTAGTACCATGTAAATAACAATCGAAACGATTGTTTTCGTATATATTACTATATAACAGTAATACACTCTTCGTCATAGCATGAATAATACAACAGGTAGTTCTTAAAAGTGGTCTGTAAATTTAGATTTGAATCGACATCAGCTGTTTTTCCTAAGTGATATTTAAATTTTATTCAAAAAAAATAAAAAAAACTTGCTTAATTATTACGTGAGCGTAGTGTTTAGTGTTTATACCCGACAGATGTATATGATCACGGATAAATTTATTCGAAAAATCTAGTATCACGGATTATCTCGAGTCACGGCGCAAACTATAGCCAATTTTTTTGCTACGGTACCGGCACTCTAAGCATCAAAATTTTTAAACAAATGTTTTGGTTTGTTTACATATAATAATGCTCTATATACATTAATCAAGGTATATTCATAAAGGTAAATTATTCAAACATCATTCATTACCGATTACAATTAAATAATGTAACTAAGCTTGGTTTATTTCTAATTCTTGATGGTGCTCTTTATAAATATTTATAACCATCGAAAAATTTGTAGTTTTTAGTCGGGATTCTTAATTCTCTAATCTCAAAAAAATGATTAAATCATAAAAAATAATTCTGCTGCTGTAGAGATAATTTTTAATTCATCTGCTGTTCCTTTTCCAGACATCCGCAATCATGGTTATGGAAGAGCAAGAAAATTCTTCGGGATTGGCTTCAGAATCAATTCCAGTCCCAAGAGTTCACGATTCTATGATTGAAACCCAAGAAGCATTAGTGAATCAAAATGAAGAGAGACGAAGAAAACCGCGTCTCCGAAAAAAGGCATTACACGCAGTGATTCGTAAGCAAATGGAGTTTTACTTTAGTGATGCTAATTTGAGTAAAGATCGATTCCTGGCGAATTTGATACAAGAAGATTCTTATGTTGATTTGGATACATTTCTTCAATTCAATAAAATTCGAGCACTCACTAATGAAACAAGTCGTATTGCCAAAGCACTAGAATCTTCTGAATTTTTAGCTCTTTCTGATGATCGCTCCAAAGTACGTCGAATTACTCCGATTAATATTCGGGAAGATTGTGACGTTTGTACAATTTACGTTCAAGGATTACCACCTGATGCTGATCATGATTGGCTAATAAGTATTTTTTCTCAATTTGGACCAGTTGCATATGTTTCGATTCCAAGATATAAGACCAATAAAAAAATTAAAGGATTTGCCTTTATCGAATTTGAATCTTCGGAGGATGCTGATAAATGTCTTGAAGCATTTCAAGATAAAGGCTGTGTTTTACCATCATATACAGCACCAGAGAGTTTATTAAGCATTACAACATTTTCTGAGGATGATCCACCGAGTGGTTTAGATAACATGAACCTTGGCTCAGAACCTATAGCTCAAGATGTTAAGATATCAAAGCGTCCTCCACCAGTAGAGTCTGAGTCTGAATTAGAGCAAGATGTGTCAAAGGTAAAAAAACCACGAATTAATGGATCTGATAATAGAAACGTTGATCAAGATAAGGGAACAGCTGAAAATAATGATACAAGTGATAAGACAGGAGATGAAGTTGAAACTGAAGATAATGATAAGGTTGATGAAAAGGACGAACAGAAGAAAAAGAAGAAGAGGAAAAGGAAAAATCGAGCCAGAAATGAACAACCTGATATAACTGAATATAGACTTCGTATAATGGCGAAAAAAGAATGGAAAAAAATAAGAAACAAGTATCTTCAGTTGCAAAGAAATAAAATGAAACAGCTAAAGCAACATTTGAAAAAGACTCGATGGAATCAGTGGAATTCATATGATCGGAGGGAAAATAAAATGGAAGTTGATGATAATATTAAAAAGGAAGAACAAAATCCACAAATCTCTAAACCGCCTAAGTTTACATTTGCTGAAGGCTTAATTACTAAAATTGAATTAGATGAACCATGCTCAAGTGCAAAAAGTTTTAAAAATGAGCTACGTAATGAGCCTGGAGTACAGTATATTGATGTTAGAGATGGTTACACTTGTGCATATGTTCGATGTGATACTGCTGAAGCATCAGAGAATTTTGTTAAAAAATACGCAGATGATAAGACTGTTAATATTTTACAAGGAGAAGAAGAAAAAGCCTATTGGGATAAAATGATGAAGGATAGAGAAGAAAAATTGACAAAAAAAGATCGAGTCAAGCAAAGAGGAAGAGATAAGTTATTGAAGAAAGCAGAAAAAGAGCTAGGGAAACATATTAAATTTGATGAGGTATCATAATAATATAGATTCTGTCTAATAGAAAAAGTGATTTTTTCAATTAATTTGAAGATTCATTCGTATCGTATATTATCGAAGAATGTCTGGAATCACTTAATTATATTTACAAAAAAATGTAAATAACTATTGTTAAGGTTTTCTAATCGAAATATAAAGTTCATCAGTATATTAATAAAAATAAGAAGCCATTTGGCGTGATAATTTATCTTTTTAATTGTATAAAAATATTTTTCACCATCGTCCTCTTCCTCCACCACCACGATTTCCACCACCTCCGCCTCTACCAAATCCACCTCCGCCACCTCGACCACGGAATCCTCCGCCGCCACCACCTAAAACATTAAAGAATATATTAAGTTGAATTATTCTGAACCGTACATATAAAAATAATTTAAATTGATAATACCTCTGCCACCACCACTGCTATTTCGATTTCCAAATCCTCCACCTCCTCTACCACCACCTCCACGGCCACCTCGTCCACTGCCACCACCACGACCTCCTCGGCCGCCACGTGAGGGACGTTTTTCTACGGTGCCTGGAGGCTTTGGTAAAAACCTTTGGAGAGGTAACAGTTTAGCTGGATCTATGTACACCTAAAAACATTTATCGATATCTGATTATTACTTGAATTCTATAAAAGCGATTTATTTCTTACAGGGTATATAGATATTAATTTAACTTACCTTAACATTTTTTTCAAAACTTGATGCTTTTATATTCTCTGACAGCCTAATCGTTACATAGTAATCACGAGGATTGCCAAAAATTTCATCAATTTTTCCTATTTGCTGTTTATTCTCAGTGTAAATGGGTGCATTGAAAAAAGGTACTTGTTCAATATCTGCTTTAGCAACTAAATCATCTTGAACTGACCATTCGAAATGTCCCAAAGGAGTAACTGTTTCTGGTGGACCTTGGTCAAAGCTAGAATTAGAATAATATCATTAAAAAAAAAATCTGTAATAATAATTTTGATAGCTAATCATGAAAGGTAAATATTATAATACCTTCTATTTCCACCGCCTCCGCGTCCTCCTCTGAAACCACCACCGCCTCTTCCTCCTTTGAATCCACCACCTCCCCCTTTATTAAATCCTCCTCCTCCACGACCACGGAAGGACATTTTTAATCGAAATATAAATTTTTTTATCTACCATAAAAAAAAATATAAAAATATATTAAAAACAATGCTGAACATTATTGTAGTAATAAATTGTATACAGTCTATTGAATTAATGACTGAAAGGGTATGTTTTAAAATTTAAATATCAGAATAAATTATGTGTAGAATGATTATAAAAAATTATTAACTTATATTGTATTTATATCAATATTTATATTTTGAATGAAAAAAAATATGGTGCATGAGGTTATGCCACTTAACCTATACCTAAGCTTAATCCAAACAGTTTAATTCTATGAAAATTCTATTAAAACAAATCGAAACATAAGATAAATGTAAAATAATATAAAATCAGTTCAATACTTACAAATAATATATAAATTATGTATACAAATGCTCCAAAGTTCTTTTGGAGAAAATTATTTACTATTTTATGTCACGCGTGAGCACATGGACATTCTATAGTTAAATCAATTATATATATTACGAGTTCGTTGTTGTATCACTGCCATCTGGTTGATTTTAGAGCGAAGCTTTATTTTTGTTTATCTAATAAAAAGAAATATTTTAATTTCAAAGTTTATTACTTATCCATTTATATTTATTTATAAATATAAATTTATCATGAATTTTTATCAGTTTGATTATTTATAACAGAAAATTAATTATAAACGAAAAATATCTCTCCAATTCCCTACAGCCAATCAAACCAGAAGGTTTTTCGTCGTTACATGAAAACAGATAATTAATTAACGATTGAAACGTTCATTCTTGCAAATAAACCCATTAGTTTTTGTAAAAAATATGATAAATTGAAAGTTATTTAGTATACAATCAAAACATCTCGTAATAAAGTTTCAAAATTTTTTGAGAAAAAAAATAATTAAAATATTTAAATTCGCGCTAATCCAAGAGAGATGTTAGCGCATGCGTCAGTTTCTACTTCTACAGTGTCTTTTGTGTGCATAGTTTATGGTTTAGTTGGCGGTTGTGTGTGCTGGCGGCGTCTCTCACCAATTTCTCGTCAGTTATTCTAAGTTGTTCGACGCACGCTCTCTTAGAACTGTTCATTCTCGTTAAAAATCCGTTGATTTTGTTACAATCACCATGGCAGAAGAATATCTTTACGGTAAGTTCTATAATTAATTATCAGTACATTCAGGATACGTAATTATTTCATACCAAATCTATTTACTTACGTTTTGTTCGTCATTACAAGTAAGCGACGCATACTACGGGACGCCGGCTGATATTCGGCCATTGTGACGAGCCCATTGTCGATACTTAGTATTCAATTATCTATCGATAGCATTTTATTTGAGTTATATCTCAAAATCTATTTAAAACTATGAAATAATAATTAAACTTTGACACTTTATAATTTATCTTTTATTGTGTACACAGGAGTTACTCTTGAAGGGAACAATACAAACGAAGTTTGGGACCCAGAACACAAAAATGATGATACGGATGGCGCCAATCAACATTTTGGTGTTGATCAAAAGCTTATTATCAAAATGGTATATTATCTTTATCACAATTAGATAGATATTAGTAAAAATTATTGTTTAAGTGTGGTGTATGCGTGACTACATCATATAGTGACTCAATGTTTTTGAAATAGTTTCGATTCTTTTTGTTTCCTTATCACTCTTATGATATTAAATAATGACAAATTAAATTCATAAATTATTTTTAATTATTGTGTGATATATTGCGTCAACGGAGATTTCCTAAATTTTCGTACTGAGGTCGTGAGTCACCGACGCTAACAACAGTTATTCTAAGGGCATAACAGCCGCCATTGGGATTACTTGATTTGCGCGCCAATTACCAATAGTAAATTTGAATTTATGTTATGATGGCTAATGTATTCATCTTTTTTTTTAAAGGCTTTATTAGGACCTGATGCCAAACCTGGTGAACTTAACGTTCTTCAAGTTGAAGCAATGGGATTAAAAGGACCTATTAAAACGCCAATTGCTTTATTGGAAAGAGGAAAGACCGAACAAATTATTCTTGACCTTAGTTTTCCTGATCCACCAGTAACTTTTTCGTTGGCTAGAGGTAGCGGACCAATCCATATAGTCGGCCACAACTTGTTGGGTAGGAAATTTTCAATGCTTAATATTTTTATTTAAAGAATGATTACATAATTTTTGTATTAATATGCCTACAGGTACGCATATGGAAGAATTCGATGATTTGGAAGATGAAATGGATGAGGAAAACATTGAAGACGAAGATGATGATAAAGTAAGATGATTTCAATATCATTTATTTATGCAATCATTAGATTCATTGAACGTCAACTTATTTTTATTGATATAGTTGACGTATTATTTTATGCCTGAATATAATATAAATAGCATTGTGTGCTTTAACTAATGAATTAGTCGGGATATGGAGTATAAATTAGAATAATGAAAATTTCAGGCTTCACAAAAGAAACGAAAGCAAACCGCGGAGGGTAAAAAAAATGGCACCAAACGCGCCAAGATGGATGAAGCAATAGACAAGTAAAACATTTAGTCAGATGGCAGCGATATCATACCATTAGATTAAGTTTTATGATGCAGAGGCTCTTTTAACAATTCACTAATTATTTTCATTATTTCTATCGTCAAAAGTAACATTAAACTATAATATTTTTCAGACGCGATGACTTTCCATTAAAAATATTTCTTATGTTTCCACTTAAAAAACTGTTATTTTTAATTTTTCGTGAAATAAATTATTTTATTTGAAAATAATAATAACTATGTATTCTTTGTTTATTTTATACATTAAATAATTCCTCTGATTTCCATCTTGGCGTTTGTTTATTCGAGAATCAATTTTTTTTACCTAAAGGTGAGGTGAACATACATGTCTAGGATTGATGTAAATGATACTCAGCTGTGTAAATAGTTTCAACAATACTTATTTTTAATGACGCAGGACTCTGAAGGTGAAGATGACGAGGATGAAGAACCTAAGAAGAAAAATGCCAAAATGTCCTCACCAGCCAAAACAAAAAGTCAGGCCAATAAGAACAAGAAAAAATAAATAATTGTCTGCAAGTAAAAGGAGATATAATGTTAGGATAGGCTATTGAGAGTAAGTCCATTATTATCATCCGCTGTTGCGCGACAATATAATTTTTCATCGAATTATAAAACAAATGTAATCATCCACGCATTTTGTGATTTCAACTGGACCATCTGATTATCAATCGTAGGAGACTTGAGTCACATAAAAGATTTCAATAGTCAACATACTGTAACGATACAACTTATTTATTACTTTATTAACGCAACGGCAATCATGTCTTTTTTTATCAAAGATAAATATAAAGATATTTGATTTTTATTTTATAATATAATTATTCCATGTTAATAGTCATAATGCATTCATAAAAAATTAAATCATTATGTATATTTTGTATAAGGAACATTTTTCTTCTACGAATTACTACATAATACTTGTTTTAGAGACAATTTTGGTATCGAGTATCTGTGGTTCAGTTTATTCAGGAAATTCGTGGGTACAGAGACGAGTGCATTACTGCATTTTTTAACATTTTCTTTGTCTTCTTAAATGTCTCAATGACTTCTTCCATACACAAAGTAAAATAAGAATAAGTGTGGTGATTGTGATCAATGTTTGACGATTTTGAAGGAGCTTATCTTCTGAGTGAAAGCGACATAAATTAGAAGTAAAAATGAAAAATTATCAATAAATGGTGTCATTTATTCGAAAGAACCTCATTATTATCAGCACGTATGTTTATTATTAATTATTAATTAACAATTTGTATTTAAATACTGCAAAAAATATGAATTCTTGATCGACTCGAGAATATTATTTTAATCAATGATTGATAATTTGATAACAGACAACAGATCAAGAAGTTATCTTGAATTGTTGTGTATTGTTACATCAAAGTAGAAAGTCTGAAAGCATATTGGAGGAATTTTTGTGCGACCGATTGCACCTCTGTACACCTATTTTGTACATATTCAATACAATAAAAAAATTTCACATAATTATAGTCTACTTTATACATATACTTAAATCATCGACGAATTTTCACGAAACAACATTCATTTGTTTTGTGTAATCATAATACTATAATGCAACTAGATTTCATTAGATTTTATATACGCTGATTGTAAACGTCACACTAGTTTTTATTAGAGAACATTTATAATTTTAATAAATAAGCATAAAGTTTAATATGATATTTTTTTTATCAGTGTATGTAAATTTTTTTATAACTTTACACAAGCGTTAAAAGAATACTAGTTTCAAACAAATCAAAGTATAAGTTTAAGTTTTATATCTAATATCATTTAAATTTCTAATTTGGGTAAATACAATCTTTTGTATAGATATTCCGTCATTTATTATATAGATTCATCATTTTATATGTTTAACGAACAGATGTTTTGCTAAAACTTACAATAGAAAAATATGTTTTTTGAATATCAGTTATCATGTTCACATACAGAATATGTCTGTTAATTAAAATACTCTTGACAGAATGGAATTTAATTATTCAGAACATTCGACAAATTTATTCCAGAAGGTATGATATTTTTAGATGATAAAATTTTTTTTTTTTGATAAGTAAATACTACATATTATTAAGGTAATTGAATTGAGACAGAAAATTGAAGATTTAGAAATTGGTATCCAAAGAAAAGATTTACGTATAAAACATTTATTTAGTGATAATCAGAAATTGGCTATTAAAGTGAAAAAACTTCAGAGATGTAATCGTAATTTTCAACGTACGTATTATTTATATTTTTAAATCAATTAATAGTTTCATATGCTGAAGATTGTAAAAACTAAATTAATACAATTTTAACTTTTAGAACAGCTGGATAATGAAAGATATTTTTATGAAAAAGAAAAAGAACATTTTCATGAAGAGCTTGACAATCAACGTAAAAAATGCAATGGTAGTACATCTCGTCTTCATCTTCGTCGACAACGGGAATTAGAACGAGCTTTTGAAGCTGTTCAAGAGGAAAATAAGCGGCTTGAAGACGAACTTTCTGAGCAAAATGAGATAACGCATCACTTGTGCGTCAAATTTCAAAAGCTAAAGGATACACGAGATCTACTTAAACAAAAACTTGCACAACTATTTCAAAATTATCTTCATGCTTTGGCAGAAATGATGGAGAAGTTAGATGAAGCTAGAGAAGAATTTAATAGTGTTGTTTCAACTCAAATCCACAATTTACCTTTGGAAAAAGCTAAATACCTTCAGGTAGTTTGGTTGATTTATATCTTAATGAGCGTATCAATTCTTTTCATTGATGAAATTTTTTTTTAGAGTGTACAAAAAAATCGAGAGTTAATCTATCAAAATGCTTTTTACAATTTACAAATTCAGAAACTTAAACATCGTCTAGATAAAACAAAACGTAGAATACAGAAGTTGGAAAATGATAATGAAAGTACACAAACTGGTGAAACATCAATTACTTCTAGATCTCAACGATCTGAATTTGGAGCTTTAATAAATTTGTAAGTTTAAGCTTTTTTCTTGAGTATATCTTTCTGATACTATATGAACAGTATATTTTTGGCAAAAAAAAATTGCATAATTACGTACATACTGTTACAGTCATAAAAAAATAACGAATCAGTCTTCAAAAGCTTCAGGAATTTAATTAGTAGAAATGCTAAATTGTTAATGTATTTCCTCGTTTGTAGTAATAGTAAAAAAAAAGGTAGGGGCATGTATAAAAAAACTTCATTAATGAATAGCTAGTTCCGCACTTTACCACTATAAGCGTTGCTTTATCTTCATTTGTGGCGGTAAAATACGAATGTTTTTCATACTAATAAAGGTACTGAATTGAAATGTAAAAGTTTTTTATAGCCTTCAGACTATTTATTCATGTTGTTATACTTACTTTAAGCATTTATTTATTCAAATCAACTTTGTTAGTATGCGGAATACTTATTAAGGGTATTATAAAGATCTGTTCAGATTCATTGAAGTTAATTTGTAATTTATTTCAATTGTGATTCACGTTGATACAGCTCTCCTGTCTCGTTTAGAACTCGACTTGAATTGAGTTGTTTTAATGATAATAATCGAAGACAGTTAAATAGCAACATACAAATTTAACTGATTCTTCTCTAAAATCAAATTTTTTATTTTTAATTATCCAAGTTATTATATTTATTTTGAAAAAATAATCAATCTCTCAAAATATCTTTTCTTTAATACTTTTACTAGATAATGTTACTTTAATTATATTTTATAATGATTTTATCCTTTTATTGTATATCAAGATGTTCGAGCGAGTATATGAAAAAGCAATCAACAGGTAATAACAACAAGAATAAACAAAGTGTTCCGGAAATTGAAGAAAGTTCAACATTTCGACAAGCTGAACTTTGTGAGAATTGTAATGAATACATTAGCAGTGATATTGAAATTTCTGAGCATGATACGAAAATGTCTGATGACAGTTCAAATGCAGATGAATCATCTGAATCCTGATAATGGAAATTGGAAGTTATTGTAGGTTTTAAAATTTTTAGTTTACTGCACTTTGATTAGATATAAAATAATAACAAATATTAATATAATATTATTTAAACGATTGTTCTTAATAAAAAGAATATTATTGCTAATCGAAATTGAGAAAAAGTTCTTTATATGTGTTGAAATAATATATTTTGTAATGAAATGGAGTTTTTATCAGTATATAGAGAGAGATTTATGTACTCAGTTCAAGATTCGTTTTGAAACATTTAAAATCTTCATTAAGGCAATAAATGATGTCGAATTACGTTGATGTTCCTTCTTTCATTGATTGCAGGCAGAGGAGAAAGAAGAAGAGGTCCCGGGAAGTGATCTTTCTCAGTGGACTGTTACAGAGCCGGTTCACAAACGCGCAGTCAGGTTTTAACGATTGGTCATTAAAAAGAGAAGAAAATTGAGACGTTGCTAATGTTCAGCAAACTCATAGTTAAGATGACAGTAGAAATCATGTGTGAATTACATGATTATTATAAAATCTTGTTGAATATTTTATAACAGTGAAATGGTAATTGGCAGAATTTTTTCATTAATCATACGTGAAGCTTCGAACGATTCACAGTAGTGAAATAGTTAACTGGTTAAAGAATCCTACGCAAGCAAATCCATGCCATTCGTAGCACTTTATTGCCTGCATCGCTTGGGCCATTTGAGTCGAGTGCGTTAATTGGCCGGTCCAATTAATTCCGACAAGTTTGCTCGGTGCGATTAGTTCTGGTAGAGTGGTACGGTAATCAAGTGCTGAGAGATGGGCGGTACCCTCGGAAAACGGAGAACCTGTTTCTCCTTTGATCATGTTTATGTATGCGTCTGTATTTAATGATTGTCTATATGTGGTAATCAGACAGTGAGGCCGCATATTTTGTTACGCGTACGCACTATGAACACATATCAATTTCCGATTAGATTTACTACTCTCAGGGAAAGAGTGATTCTGAAAAAGTTAAATTTTTTAGCACAAAATCTTTTTTCTTTGCTCTATTGATTCTTTTTCTATTTTTCCTCACAACATGTATTTAAATTTCAAAATATTAAAAACAAAATTAAACTTATAAATCGTTTTACAGAGGTTGAGTGATGTTAAAAAATTATTGAGTAAATGTTTTCAGTAGCTTTCAGAATATATTTAGCGGAAGAGTAAGACAAAAATCATGCTTTAATGACTTGAAAATATTTTTTTATAAAAAAAAATGTAAAAAAAATAAATAGCAATTCAAAAAGTTTTTATAAATGACTTTTTGTTTTATGTAATAAGAATTTCAAGGCAACACATTTTTATAATTGCCTTTCTTCCATGAATTTAAAGCTGACTAAAAAAGAGAACAAAAATTGTATAAAACATTTTTTATGCAGGATTGAGGAATTGATTTAGACCTAATTGAGCAGCGAGACAGTTGTCTTTAAAATTCCGGTAGCGAATCCGCATTAAGCGAAGCAAGACAGACGATGAAGAAGATGAATCCAAGGGTATGGGTACATATCCAAGTGTCTCCAGCTATGAGTAGTCCATGGCAAACGGAGAAGTAAGCCGGAGGTTGATTTATCGGCCAATTAGTCGAGCGTACCGGGTGCGCTTCTCCGGTGCGTCGTCTCACCTTCCAGATGATATCCTGAGGAAGACCACGGCCTGTGAGGGAAGAAACAAGAAACAAGAAAAAAACATAAGTGAGCGAGACCAAGAAGAAGAGAGAGAGAGAGAGAGAGTAAATCCTGTGCGCATTTAACCATGGCCACACTAACGCAGGTATCCTTGGCTTAAAGCTTTAATGAGGATAACTTGATTTTCAGTATACAACAATTTTAATACGTTGATTTTATTTTTATAACAGATATTTATCCTTAAGCTCCTGATAGAGCAATGAAAAAGCTCCAAGGAGGCGTATTGAAGTGTAAGTAAATCAAAGGATAAAAAACCAACTGCTACCAGTGATGTGAGTGGCATTTACTGGTTAAGCATCTCGTCGACAGATAGAAATAGACCTGGACCATTCTCAGAAAAATGCTTGGCTCTCAAGGAAACAAAATTAAAAGATGTATGTTCGTAAAGTGATAGTGATACGCCAAAGACTTGTCTTGTTACTCGGAGGCTTAATACTAAAGACATCTTCATGAATTATGGGTGAAAAGAAAATTATAAAACAAGTAATTTAGCGCTCATTAACTTCAAAATATTACAAGTACAAAATTTATCCATCTTTTTGCTTTAAAATAATGATTTATTGAGAATACGACTAGCCAAAGTGTCGCTTATGTGCATTGAGTTAAAAGTAAACACGTCGTGACTTGAGTTAATGTTTTCCGCACAGACGTTATCGTGTTTGGTGACACGCGCGTTAGTTAATACTCTGTCGTGCTTCCTCATTACTCTCTTTTCGCCATTCTTAATGGTATAACAGGGTCTCCACCTCGTGTACGGTACGTGATGACTCGCCTTCAGCGGCATTGGATTTGCCAGATCGAATTTCACTTACTTGCCGCTGTTGAGCATTGAAGCGCCGCGATTTCGTTTCTACTCAGGGTTATCCAGCTTTCATACCTACCATATATTATTAACCTGCTCCATTAACGATCTGGCAATTTTTCATGGTATTTCTCACGCGCTGCCGGCCAATCAGTCTACACCATTGCAAAAATGTATTTCCGTCAATTCCAAGTGGTAAAACAAATATGAGCATATCGAAGTTGAATTAGTAATTCATTGGAAGTTTAATAATTTTTGGTATTTGATCAATTAAATTGATTTTTATATTGATGCTTATCATTAATAATTCAACGAAATCAACTCATTGAAATGCTGTCAAATGTTTCTGACTAATGATGGTTGTAAAAATCAATCTGTCAATTACTTGGGTTGATCTTTTAGGAAAAACGTTGGATTTCCTTGCTTCAACAAAATTGGAGTGTTATTTGGATTATGCTATAATTGAAAGAAAAGAGTTAGGTAATTAATAAATAAACGATTGACATTGCTGCCAATAAAACAAGTAATTAAAAGTTTAATTGTCAATCAATTTCTTTTAAAAATTAGATAATTTGATAGAAAGTGTCATTTAGCATAATCAACATTAAAGCAATGATAAATAAGATTACAATAATTAAAATAAATTTATCTTTCAATGAAGTTTATTTATTACTGATGACTGTTAACTTATTGGCCAGTTGGATTTGTTTATATTGCTTTACTTACTGAGAAAAGTTTTTTCAGAATTACCTGAATGTATACTAATGGTTCTACTGTAATAAACGTTCAAGTTTTTTTCAGAATTCCACAATCATTCAAGAAGTTTAAATGAACTCGGGAGATATTGCAAGAGGTTTTAAACCTTTAGTTCTGCACGTTTATAGTCAGTATGCATGAACACTGAATCCTTTGTCAAAATATGTTCTACACGTGGGTATACCTACAAACCGAGCTTTAATATCCTGTCTGCGTTTAATCGCGTTGGTATTAAAGTCTGATCCATGGGCGGTCCTATTAACAAGCTGTGTTCTTACTTTGTTTCATGTATCAGCATCATCATCACCATCACCATCATCATATTGTAATCATTATTACAATTATTGCAATGATTACGAGATAATAGTTATCATTATTTTTTTCGCAATTTTTATTTAAAAAATTTGTTCTTAATTGATATGTCACGCTATTAATCCACTAAGTTCGTTGTGACTCTAATGGAAATTGCTGCGAAATTTTCAGAGCTTACGACTCTGGCATGTTTACAGAGCTGTGAGTGCAAAAGAATTAAATGGAGAAATACAAAAGTAGACTGAGCGAGTAAGAGAGACTTGCAGGCACGGCCATAAAATGTCGAGTGTAGTTAAATTCGTATTTGTAGAACGACATTCACGAGACGAGTCTGAATACGTAGATTTATATACGAGATAAAATTTAATTTATCAATTTCATCGTTAGCTTTTATGCATATTAAACGTGGTATTTAAAAAATAATTCAAGAAGATAAACATTTTAAATACATTGGAGTAATAACGCAAAAGCAAAATCTTGATTTATGTAATGATTTAATGTAATAAAAATTTTTTTTAGAGCTACTTAATTTTATAAAAACTCCATAAATTTAAAGTGCTCATTATCAACCAGTATACTGTTTAATAAAATTATGGGATTACTTTAAAAAGTGTAAAATTTTTAATGATCGCCAACATACAATATTTTCTTTCATCAAGATACAATTCAGTATTCAATTTCTTGAAATTATTTCTGATCAAATACATCAACTGTTATTGATTCAAATAGAATATCTAGTAATTCTTGGGGAATAACAAAATATTTATTATAAAGAATAATATCTTAATAAAAAATTATGAAATCTTTTGGATCTACAGCTTAGCCTTTTAATATCTATGTCGATCAGCCACCCTCTTAATTATTTCAGTCTCTATAAACGCCCTAGCAGCATACGACAATAACATGCGGATCACATGGATATAGATTTTGTAATATTGCTGCTATTATTATGCATATGTGAACGTATATTGCAAGTAAGCGATTGAGGGGTGTTAAGCTCTTTTGCTAGAGTCATTATTCTGCGGAAAGGACGAGAGGGGCATATTTCTCGAGGGCCGTTCTCCCTACCTACCATAGTATTAAAACGATAAGTTGAGATGATAACTGGCATTGCGCGTTGTAAGGCAAGAGTCGACGCGTGCGAGGAGTCGAGAGTTAGCTCGTATCCGCAATTTGATCAGTGACTAAGCATAGCTCAACTTCAATCGAGCCTCGTTATAGATAATGTAATCTTTAACACCCCTATGAAACCTCTAAATGATTAGCAGAGAATTACATGAAGCCTTTTTTTCATTAAAATATCAACAAGTTATTGAATTAATGGTGACATTAATAGCAAGTATTATTACTGGGAAAAAGCCTTATTGATTTTTTACTTATTTTTTATTACTTGCAGAAGTAATTACATGTCTGTAATGACCTTATAACATTCTTTTTAATAGCTTATTTATTCAGAATCCCAGTCTTGAAGTTGGTCTTGTTTCAAATTGGAGCACTGATTATATTTAATAAATATCAGTTAAAAAAAAACTAGCAACTATACACTTATCTTCTTGGTTTTGTATTGAGCATCATGCGAGATAAAGTGGATTCCTGAAGAACAGCTAAGATCTGGAAAACATATGGTATGAGTTATTTTATTAAATTTTTTGAGTTTAACTTATTGTCATAATATTAGTGTAACATTTTTTTTGCTAAATCATTAAATTTATGTTCCAGGAAATAATTTATAAATTTTAATTTCCAGGTTAGGAGTGTTGGAAATGAAAGATACCAAAAGAAGTTATTCAGAAGATTCTTCAAGTAAGATAATTAAATATAAATAAAACATTTTAATGAGCTTCAGGATCAATTCGAAACCATCAAGGTGGCAACCTTTAACACAACTCCCTTAAATTTATTTAAAAA